TTGAGATGCACATTTGGCACCAGAGTTGTAGACTTTAGATAATCTACTGACTTCTCTTGGGAACATTGGCCTAAAGAGACTGAACTGTCTTTTTTTGATTTTTTTTTCCTTCTAATTGTTAAATAAACATGTAAACAGAGATGAGCTTAATGTAAATATTCTTACCAATATGTGCAAATGTTTAGAACTCCCCCCCACCCAAAAAAAAACCTTATTTCTATGGTGGAATTACATGAATATGGGGTAAGCCCTCTTGCTCTTTACACATACAGGCTCTTTTTTGTGCTCTGCAGTGCAGCACAATGGTTGTGTTTTATTGCTTCTCGTTCTACAGTGCAAAACTGAGGCTCAGTCGACTCATTGATGGCCACACAGAGAGTGCATTGCTAACATTTAAGCTTAACAGTTGTTAGAACAGAAACAAAATAATTTCAATGAGCCACTGAGAATTGCTTTTATTGGTTAATCTTTACATCTAGATACCATAACATAAATGGGATGTAAAAGTAAAAAATTACACAAGTCTGCAGGTTTTCCTTTTTAATGTCTCAGACTGGGTGTGCTTTCCTGGTCAGTTTGTTTCTTTCCTCTTACACCAGTGTCTCAGCTGAGGCCAGTGCTGGTGCAGCCATTTGAGTCTGTATTTGCTCTTGCACTCCAGTCCCTGCCTCATTCAGCATTTTGGCTATGCCCTTGTTTCTTGTATATCCGATTTACCTGTATTGGCTTTGGCTTCTTCTCTACTTACCTGTATTGGCTTTGGCTTCTTATCTACTTGCCTGTATTGGCTTTGGTTTGGCAACCACTCAAATCAATGTATTTTTTTTTAAAGTAAGGTGCACATGACAGGGCTTTTCACATAAACACAATACAAAAATTTCCCAGCACACTTGCCAGCTTAGACACTTCCATGTTCACCTCACTTTGCAAAGCTAATTATAAATTGATTGGATCAGTTGGTATTTTTGTTTAGATTGCTGGATTTGGTATGGGGACACACTGGGGGCTTCAGCTGTGTGTTGATCCCTAACAACATACAACTGTGCTGTGCTGGTCTTCTGGTATGTCTCAATGCCTTTACGGAGGTATGGGCTGCCTCCAGGCCCACCTGACCACAATTATCCATTGGCATATATGTTTCAAGATGGAAGCTCTCAGAGATTAGAATTAGGGACTACATTTTAAAGAGGGGCCTTGACAAGGTAATGTGGCTTTTGCATATATTTGCAAATGTATGCAACAAAAACTTCTGTAACACAAAAGGCTCAATTCACAAAGCTTTAACACAAGAATAAGTATCTTTAGTTTAGCCATGTAACCATAATGTCCAAATCTTATTGATCTCCGCAGAAAAGAACTGTCACTTTTTTGAAAATCCTGATGTACTACCTTTGTGAATTGATCTTAAGCAGTGTCATTTTGTTTTTTGCTGGCTTTCTGGTAAGGGTGCTGGGAAATGTTTATGTTGTGTTTGTTCTTAAAGTGGAACCAGACACAAGTGAATTTATCCTTCAAACAGTGTAAGACAGTTGGGAATTATATATCTTCTGCCTAGGCCCACTTTGACTGTTCATGGAGGTGCAAGCTATCACCAGTCAACTATTCCTAGACCACCTTACTAAATACCTCATCAGTGTAATCCAGGGATCAGATCAAAATCAGTGGACAGGATATACCTTGGACAATGTCAAAGGCCTGATAGGCTCCTCTGCAGCCAGAAGAATGGAGGTTACCTAGGTACTGTCAGGTGCTAAAATACTATTATGCTAAAAGTAGCAAAGTAATCCTCGATAGAAACCCAAACATTAGATAACCACTTGAGTACTATCCTGTATATACCCCTTATTACCCAGCCCATTCCTGTATATACCCCTTATTATCCAGCCTATTTTTCATCACTGAGATAGTTTGACAATTACTTGGTCATGGAACACTGTACTCTAATTTTATATTTTTTGTTAGACAGATAAGAGCTTCTTTTTGGCGGTATTTATTAACCACCGGGAGTTATGTTTGCCATAATTAACCAGTACTGTGCTAGAAGATCTAATTGTATGTTGTACATTTATTGTGCACACTGGCTGTCCTAACAAAGATCTTAAAAGGATTGAGTGGTACAATGTATGTTCATACGCTTTAAAAAAAAAGAAATGCAAAACCATCCCTCCCCCATCTATCTTAAACAAAAAAGCTGCCTATAGTATCCTATGTATAATCCTACTCCAAAGAATCAACTAGAAAGAAAAAAATAAATAAATAAATAATATATATATATATATAAAATAATAACAATAACAACACACACACATACACGCAAGTATGCTGTGTGAATTGAAACACAACATATAGGGGGGGATTCTCAAAAAAGTAAAAATATACTTTAAAAGAACTATGGGGTTAGGGCTTTTCCCCATAGTTCTCCTAAGGGTAACGGGAGGATACAAACTGGTGTCCTCCCGTCACCCTAAGCTCAGTATACTAGGGGCTACAGCTCGCGGTATACTGAGACGCCGCAGTATAGCGCAGGTGGATCGGGGGGAATCCAGTCCTTCCCGTCACGGCAGAGCCGTAACAGGATCGAGAAGTGAGCGAACGCCGGTATGTGTTCGCTCACTTCCCGATCTACTGAGCAGACCTGTGACAGTTTCATTGTCACAGGTCGGCTAGAACTATGAGGTGAGTGAGAATCACTCACCTCATAGTTCTCCTTTAAAACAAATGTATATTAAAAAAATCCCTTTTGTTTCAAAGCCACTTTACTAGTACGGACTGCACTAAAAGTGAGAATTGTGGACATAAAAGTTACCACTTTGTTGATAGCAGTTTGTTGATTTTAAAACTGCAACTGGAACCACAGTGTTAAATAACACGCTCACAGGCACTTAAACCTCTCCTTTACATAAGCGTAAAATGGCTGTTTCTAAAATCTTTTGTGCTCCCATGGCTCTCTCTAGTGGTAAAAAAGGAAACATACAGTGAACGGTCATGCATGATGGGGGTTATAAGTAATCCCGGTTTTGAATTTAACATTACTCAAAACAGTAGAAATTCACTGGCAGTTCAGCATAATCTGAGTATAAGGAAGAGAACTGGATATTAATGAGGGCAAACAGTTGATTTGTATATGATTGTGAAAGTCCTCACTGACAGCTTCAGTACAGATAATTGAATGACTGATTAATACATTCTATGGTACGTTATTACAATATAAGACCTTTGATCAGAAGATGTTTATATGATTTAGGGAACTTCTGTTTTCTATAGGAGGAAAATATTTGAAATTTGCCGGATAGCCATGTGTTTTTATAATAATTATTTTTAGGGTTTGTAGAAAACTATGCGACACATACATTTTGTGCCCCCACCATGCTCCCATCAGCCAATTACCAGTCTTTTTTTAAAAGTTTTTTTTATTGATTTTGCATGTACAACAACAAGAAATGCAATAACAAAAACCTAACATACAATCCTTTCAGTGTTGTTTTTGAGAGTGCAAAGTTGGGTAAATATATCGGTTGCAACTGAAAATACATAGAAAGGTGTGATACATACAACAGAAAAGAAAATATTTTTGAGCATTTACAAAAAGTTTGTGTTACCAGATCCATGGGGAAGAGGTGTGTGGGTAGATTTAACCCAAGGGCAGAATTGATCAAATATTTGTGGTTTATCTGAATTTGTAAGTGCATTTTATACAAAGGAAGTTTAACATTAACTAGTTTATCGAAAGAGGAAGGATGATCTCTTTCAAGTCAACAGTATGAACTTTTGGCAAAGAAAATTTGGGTTATTTAGGAATTTATAGGTTATCTAGAACACTAAGAAGACAATGTTTAGGGGGTACATATATTAGAAAGTCCTCACGCATTTGAAAGCCATTTGCCTATGACAGCAAGTAAAACCTGAAAATAATGTGTAAAGTGTAAGAGTGTAAACTGATATACTGTAGCAATGGTGTAATGAGTTTGATGAAATAACTTCAATTGAATTAAAGTTTCTGGGTGATATCATTGAATCATTATTGGTTTCTCTGAACTCCAGCCAATCCAGGGATGTGGGTTGTATTGGCTTATTAGGACATATGTCTGGTTTTCCCGTATCTGGCACAGGAGACCATATTCAGTGGCAAGTAATACCTTGAAACCTATTTAAATTGTGCCTGGCTGACAAATCATTTTTTTAAATTCTGTTTGGAACGTATACCAAATTGAGTCATGGCATGACCCAAGTGATGATAATTAAACGCATATGTGGATTGGACACCAAATTCTTCCAGAATGTGACAAATCAACTTAATTTCACCAGAAAAGAAAAGTTGATCATTATATTTTATGCCAAAAAGAGGACCAATGTTGCATATTCAGAATAGTTACAAACTCAGGCAAAGTAGGATTAGACCAGATAGGGTTAGTGGAAGTTTCAATCCAGTTTTGCAGAATTATCTAACTATATGCAGGAAAATGGTGAGAGGTGAGTGAAGAAATGCGGTGCCCTGGTTAAAAAGAATTGAGTGCCCGTATACAATATTGTAGGGATGCACCGATACTTGGCATTTTCACGAGAACTACCAGGATTGCAGCTGGGACCTAGCTCTGGTGTTCCACCACTGTCCTGAATCAATAAACAAAAATGTATCAGTACTCGTACTTGTAAGTACTTGGGCAAGTACCAGTACTCGCAAAACTGGTATCGGTGCATCCCTTTATTTATAAAAACAATATTATACATTAAAACAGAGATGTACAAATCCCAGGAGCTCCGTGTGCTCCTTACAAATGACAGCCGCCTCCTAAAATTTTCAATTTTTCTCTAGTCTAGTCTTGTAGCTGGAAAAGTATCGGTACTTGTACTGTATCGGTGCATCCCTACAATATTGTGTAAAATTCAACAGAGGAGACATGGCATACTACAGTTTTGCACTCCAAAAATGTATTCTATTTATAAATAACAAACATATAAAAAAGTTACACACAAAAAGACAAGAAGTTGTGCGTTCAAATTTATCTTCGGCGCCGCCTATTCAGCTTGGCCAATTTCTCTCGTTTTCGCTCAGCGCTGCGATCAAATGTCTTTTGGAGATTGTCATGGTATTTCTCTAGTGCAGTTTTGAAGCTTGCCACAACATCCTGAAGAAGCCAGTAGAAGAGATTAAGCAACCCAAGTTCAATCAACCAATACCAATGTAAATTAGAAAACCTAAAAATCTTCAACAATAAAGATGCATGCAGAACTAGATTCCTTGGTTTGCGTTTCCCACAAAAGTTAACTGATTGGCTGTTATGCGATCAGCTTCATCTATGAAATCATTATGAAAATCAGGTGGATGTACAGAGAGTATGTGCTTTTGTGTGTGGACCAAGTTTGGTCCACACACAAAAGCATGAAAGGAGGTGGTACAACACAAAATTAAGAGGTTACAATCACATCCAGAAGCTGTGTGAGATGCCCACTAAATTAGTCTTTGTGGGATTTCTATAAAACACTTGATTTTAGGGGGTAAATAAAACACTACATCACTTTAGCACAGCTGCAGTGTAATGGTGTTAGCAGTTCAAGGTCTTCACTTTTTGCCAGGAGTTCCTCTTAAAATGGTTGCTGGTGTTTTATGGAAACTATGGAAGACAGGTCTCACAGGCACATGCACCTTTTGGGACTAGCAAATTTGATATACAAGAGTGGCCTTCACAAATCTGTTGCTTTCAAGCAACAAACATGGAATTTTTGTACTTCTCGTAAAGTCCATTTTTGGGAGTCCATTGAGGGGCACAGGAATTTAGATAGTCGGGATATACTGTTGCATATGGTATTGGCAAACATAAATCGCAAGCCAGCGCACAGTATATTCCTCCTCTATCCAGCATGCCTTATTTTAGTGGTAAAGCTGTGTCCCTCAAATTTCAAGAAATGGATTTTACAATAAATACAAAAATCCTATTTTGTTTTCCGTCAATTAAAAGACACAGAATTTCAGATACAGTTCAGACATCCAAAAGCAGTCTATTTTAGGGGTGGGCAAAGCAGAACAAAAAAACGCTAGCAGGCCTCATTATTAGGAGTGATGACTGCCTGAAGCCCAGGAGCCACTTGAAGCACCAATGCCGAATCTGAATAGAGAAACCTGCCAACATAACCGAGAGCAAGGAAGATCAAACTCATGCTTTAGACCAGGATGGAGAAGATTATTGCCAGAGGGGAATGACTCCACACAGATGGGAATCCAAAAACTAAGACAGTGAGACGTTGATCATCCAGAACACACCAAAACTAGTGGCATAAGAACAAATTCCAGAGAGAAAGGACCTAAAATCTGATGTGGTCAACAGACTATAGGTCAGAGGGAGCAGTGCACAGCAGAATCTGTTCAGGTTCAAAAGTACATATCAGGGTAATAAAAAAAAAAAATTTTTTTTAGTACATCTCTACAATAAAAATACAATTTCCCCGTGAATTCTAGTGCGTGTCTAATTTCCTTTTTGGGCAGACGACATTGCTTTTGCTGGACTGAAATCCCAAGGAGCCAAGTCACCCCTGCCTGCTGGGACTACAGAACTCTGCCCATCCCCACTCTGCCTGCATACACTGATCTATCCATTTATTTATTTCCCAGCAACACAATGCTGCTGCCTTGACTCCCAAGATAAAGCCCACACAATGTGTGCAGAGGAAAGGCACTTGGCATGGGAACATCCCTCAGAATTTCCTTTGTCAAAAGGGAGCTCAGCAGTAGCTCCTGCAAGAATTTGGGGGAGTAATGAAAGCTATGTCTTGCTATGGGAACAAGGTGAAAGAAAACAAAAGGCTGGAAGATAGTCTAAAAGGGGGCGAGGGAAGTTAGTCATTCCTGGACACACACTAACAAAATAATGCTAAAATGATGGGGAATCTTTTACTATTTTCATATCTAATATGCGAAGCAGTTTAAAAAAAAAAAAAAAAGTTACAATTGTCCTATTTTTTTTAAAAAAGTGCAATACGTGACCGTGGGTCAATCATCCAATGAGCAGCTAGTGCCATCAATGAAACAAGTGCACAAAAAAAGAAAAAAAAAAAAACACACACAAAGAAGATCTGCAAAAATTATCCTTTTAAAAGGTTATAAAATCCATCACAAATTCAGCAAGTGTGTTATAGCGTTTCTTGCCACATGATTCAGTAAACCTCCCTCTGTGATAACTATAGAGGGTGTATTTGAAGGCAGTGAAGACATTGGCATGCATGTCTACAGGCTTAGAATGAGGTTCATCCAGAAAATAAGGATACCAGTAATTACAGAGGATTAAAAAGGACAACTATAGAGAAAATCATCGTATTCTCATTATGTCTGTAACCCCTTAGGAAGCAGCAGTGAGCAGTTGGCAAGGACTTCAACTTCCCTGCTCTTGTCTTATTCCTCACAGTCATTCTTGTATACCTCCTGTCATTTGAGAGCCTGGATGGCTCTTATCTACAGCTTGATCTCTGGCTTCCCTCAGCATTTCCTTTCTGTAGCACAGCGGGTTTGTCTAAAGTGTATTTCTACTTTTGGAGCCAAATTGGGATAACACCTACTTTATATTTGTTACATGTTCCCATTCACATAGCAGAACTTAAAAATGTAACTGTATTAAAACAGTGCTGCTTACATTTTACTTGCTCATTACTGAAAACTCCATGAAGGAATTTTCCACTGTTGTGCAAGGGGGTCGGGGAGTTGTTTACCCTAAATTAACCCTGTGTGTACTGTGCTGGCTAATCTCTAGAAGTTGCTTCTGTATTGTATATTAAAGAGGGGAAACTCGCTCTGTCCCCAGTCTGTTAATTCCCAAGAGCCGCACTCCGATGACATAACTCCAATAAAAACACCTTTATGGCTGCTACAATATACCGATCAGTCCCTCTCAAGGTCTGCTTTGCTCTAACATTTTTCACCTTTGGGATGAATTAGAGCGGAGACCGTGAGCACGGCCTTCAGGTCCAACATAAGTACCTGACCTCACAAATGCGCTTCTGGAAGAATGGTCAAACATTCCCATAGACACACCTAAACCTTGTAGATGCCTTCCCAGAAGAGTTGAAGCTGTTATAGCAGCAAAGGGTGGGCCAACTCAGTATTGAACCCTGCGGACTAAGACTGGGATGCCATTAAAGTTAATGTGCGTGTAAAGGCAGGCGTCCCAATACTTTTGGCAATATAGTGTATTTGAGCGGAGCAGACCTTGAGAGGGGCTGAGCGGTATCATGTTGAAGTCAATAAAGTTGTTTTCATTGGAGTTATGGCACCAGAGTGCAGCTCTTTGGGATATACTGACTGGATATACGGAGATTGAGGGCGAGCTCCACGGTTGAGCATCTGGTCTCTCTCTGAACTTGGTAAATACTGAGAAGGAGCAGCATTATCTTTCTTTTCTATCTTTAGGTATGCCATGTGAATGGGAACACATAACATATAGTGGGGGTTTCTGAAATCTGAGTGCAAGAGTGGGAATACAAGCATTTATAGCCAAAGTACAGAATTGCAATGAAGCTGGAGTCAAGGCTGACACCCCAGCAACGCTAGAACATACCTGACATTTCTTTTTTTCTTCTTCTGCTCTTTCAAGGACCTGTTCTTTCTTGCTTTTGATCTGCTGTATTTCTTGAAGAACATGTGACACACGCCCAACCATAGCCTGTCTCTTATCTTGGACACGACTACAGATCCTGTGTAATAGGAGACAGATGGGTCCAATGAAGGCAATGTTATACAAGGGCAAAGTATATTAAAACACTGAACTCCAGGCAAACTGCTAACTGCACAGAAGAGGACACCTATAAGAAAGCAATTTTACCTGCCAAAGGATTTGTATGGCCTGTCTATCCAGTCCTAAGATTTACACAGCACAGCCCTGCCTGGCAGAACAGGGGGCATGATATTGCTCTGCTGCAGCTCACTAACATTTAGAGCCTGTTTACACCTTCCATTGCATTCATCGCACAGTCCCGTGCCATGAACGGACTCGATCGCATAAACAAAGCCTCCCCACATTCTGGGGCGCCATTATTTTCAATGGGACTGCAGACACGCCCGACAGTTGGCTTTACACGGGTAAACAGGGGCCTGTCGGCCAGCGTCGTAAGCGATACAGTACTGGCAGGGAAAGGGGTTAAAGCATATCATAACTAATATATTACAGCATATCTGCAACTTCTCTCTCCAGTAGCTGCCTGTATATCAGTGCCATAACTCAGCATCCCCTCTCAAGAGCTATGGAGAGTAAATCTCAGCAACACAGACAGTACATGGCTTCCAGTGACTTAGACCTGATAAATGCATAAAACAGGGATAGGCAACCTCGGCACTCCAGCTGTTGTGGAACTACAAGTCCAATGAGGTATTGCAAGACTGACAGTCACAGGAATGAGTCCCAGAGGCAAGGAAATGACAGGATTTGTAGTTTTACTACAGTTGGAATGCCAAGGTTGCCTACCTTTGGCATAACATGATGAGACATGGGAATGATCTTGAAGGGAAGGTATGGTGGATATTTATCTGCACCTAGTCAGGAATAAAGAATACATATAAAAATACAGGGTAAATATGAAATATCGTATATGAATATTTTACGTTCTCATATGCAGCCAGCAGGTTGAGTAATTATGTTTTTCTAGCCTCTTTTTACCTCCCGTTGTAAAAAGCCTGTTTACATATCTCAATAACTCAAGCTGCAATTTACACACATGACAACAAGCAGCGACTTAAACTGCAACTGAAGTCTAAACTGTTTTTTTTTTTTTGGGATAGAGATTAGAACACCGGTCAGATTTTGATTGCGGTCTGTGCACCCATTAGGGAGATTCAACCTCTCTAATTGTCCTGGTGATTGTGATCACTGAAAGAAAATCCCAAAATAGGCATGTTTGTCAGAACAGGAATAGATTGGAAATCTTCCAATTGTGACAATAGTTCTGGTGACCCTGCTGACCACCAGGAATTTCCCTCTTTGGAAGGATGTGGCTATCCCACAGGAAGTGAAGGCAAATCTCCCCAATAGGACATAGATGGCCGACAGGGGTTATACCTAGGGATGCACCGGTACCGGTTTTTCAGTATCGAATACAGATACGGGTGCCGTGTGTCCCGATTATCAGGAAGTCGGTCGCGGATCATGACCCGTCGCCCGGCTTGTTGATTGCCTGTGAAGCCGGTGTTCTAGCGAAAGAACGCCGGCTTCCTGACCAATCAGGATGGCGAGTGATGACGTGCCACCCAGTTTATTGATTGGTTAGGAAGCCAGGCTGCCTAGGAACAAGTGAAGCCAGCTTCTTAGTCAATCAGGAAGCCGGCGACGCGTAATGATCCGCCTCCCAGGTTCACTTGTTCCTAGACAGCCTGGCTTCCTAACCAATCAGGAAGCAGAGAGGACTCAAAACATTTTTGGGTTCAGTTCTACTTTAATCCCACCTTGTATATCAAATAACATAACACGACACCACTTTACAAAACAATAAAACTGACCCAAAACCATTAGCATTTCTCTTGAAATATGACACTTCAAAAAAAATATAACAAAACCTTTAGCACTAGAGGAACAAAGCACAGTGTCTAGCTCCTGTCTTCCCGACTCACAGCAGTATATGTATTAGTAATACCTAGGTGCGCTTTGAAGACAGATGAAAGCCAGTAAAATTAAGATTTCCAGCTCACTGGATAAAAGCCAAACTTACTCCAAAATTTCTTTCTTTCTCTGCTCAAAGTCCTCTTGTTTCTTCTGGTTTTTAATATCCGTTTTTGCAAGCTTCTCCTTTTTCATGAGAATAGTTCTTTTTAATTGAGTCTCTTCTGATGATATGGACTTCAGATCCAGGTTCTCCTTTACATTCTGTTCTTCCTCTTGTCGAATCTGGAAAACAGGAATAGTGACTAATGTGTGTTACAAAGAAGGGAATACAGCTTGGTTTAAATGGATACACAAAGCTGTGTACATATGTTTAGGTGTATATAAGCTATACAGATAAAACAAGGTACCTCCTCCCGAATCTTCTTATACGTTTCCAGGTTGGCCTCAATGCTATGCAACTTCTTATTAGAAGCTTGTATGTCTGGTTGCCACAAACCAGCCAAGGTCACCCTCTCCCGGTAATGTTCATACTTTTCTATGGTTTCTAGCTGTAAAGAGGAAAACAAATCAAAAATAGAGTTTTATTGCAACATCTAGTAAACATATATAGGAACCCATAGGGAAAGAATATCAGAAGAAGATCAGGGGTGGGCAAACTCCAGCTCTAGAGCTGTTGTGGAACTACAAATCCCATGAGGCACTGCAAGATTCTCACAGCCACGACTCCCAGAGATAGATGCATAATGGGATTTGTAGTTTCAACACAGCTGGGGGGCTGGCTGGAGTTTGCCCACCCCTAATATAGATTCTCCAGTCAGACATAGACCTTGTAATGCATAGAGTGTTGCAGACAGGTTAGAATTGGATTACACTTCTGAAAGGCATATTTCAGTGCCTTTGACAAATTCACCTACCTGTTGGAAACTGCTACAACAATTTGTCAAATGGAGGAACGGTGGGGGCAGGGATGGGGCAGCACTAAAGCAGCCAGAGTGATTATACTGCAGACACACCGTCCTCAGTGCATGTTCAGCCCCCAGGCCACACAGCATCCTTGATTGCTATGATGCGGTCGGCTGCACAGAGTCCTTGGTTGCCATGATGCGGTCAACTGCACAACGTCCTTGGTTGCCATGATGCAGTCAGCTCCACATTGTGTTAGCAACAAAGGAGCTGTGCAGCAAACAATGTCATAGCAAACGAGGATGCTGTGCTGCCGATAGCGTTCTAGCAACCAGTGCAGGGGTGGGCTCACAGCCTTAGTACTCCAAAATTAAATTTGTCTTATTTACCTCCATTTTTCTTATCTGCCGGTATTTGTTGTACTTGTTGCAAACAAGAACTACTTGAATCTGTCCCATGTCGGAAAAAAGCAGTGAAATGGTTGCAAGGTTTACATGCGTCACACTTCCTATAACAGTAATGCCAAACATCTGTTGCAAAGGTTAGAATGAATCCCCCCAGAATTGTATACAAATATCGTGAATCGAGAGACTGATTTTATTATGAGCATGTCCAAATTGGAGAGATATTCCCTATTTTGATATCCCCCAATTTTGTAAAGAGCTGCACAAACTGTTGGCGCTATATAAAACCTGTATAATAATAATAATAATAATAATAAGACTGTGGTCAGAGCCTCAAACTTTGTCTGGAGATATATCCATGAAAATAAAATAAAGAAAACCCGTATGTGCACAATTTTCAAATATAAATGATAGAATTCCGAGAGTCAAAACTCATGGATTCAATTAAGCTTTCACTTGCACTGGATTTAGTCCGGCTTAACGCAATGTATCACAATGAAAGTACCGTATATATATCCTTCCCACCGTTAGTGGATCTGAAGTCTTACCCTGGCTTGTTTCAATCTGTGGACATTTTCCTTCATCCTCTCAGTTTTATTTTTACGTTGTTCTGGCGATTCCACAATTTGGGATTTCATGCGCTCCTGCTCCTCCTTCATTGTAGCAATAGCGAGCTTATATTGGTTCTATGTTACAAGAAATTGCTTTAAATCAGATGAACTCACAACAGTTTTTTTTATCAAGCAGTATACAGCATACAAGTTATTCCACAACAGAACCCAAATTCGAATATTTTTCTTTGGGAACTACATAAGCCGCACAAATTTTTTTTTAAAGTGATCACAATCTATTTCAGTCTTCTGACTGTACAAATGCACTTTTCTTCCTGATAACTACATTTCCTGAAATCTGCAAGGACAGTACATGAAACCCCTGCTGTCCTGGAAGACGACTGGGGAAATCAGGAGTTAGACCAACTAGAAACTCTATCCACCAGTCTTTTGGGACAAGTGTTTCATGCAACGTCCTGGAAGAGTACAGGGATATTTAAAGCGGACCTTTACCCATATCTTTGAAATAACAACAAAGACACCATTAGAAATGTTTAGCAATGACAATCTACTTCTAGATAATTGCCGGCTTTCTTTGCATACCTTATTTCTCTTTTACTCCCCATTCTTCTCAATTAACTTTATTCATAAAAATATAAATCTATATATTTATCTCTTTACTTCCTGGAACTCTGGCACATGTGACTAGGACATGTGCCCATGCACATCATCTCAGGGGAGGAAAATGCCTTTCCCCGAGACCTCATGAGATTACAGATGAGATTTCCAAGCAATATGCTGTGATGTAACCTTTCCGAGTAGGGATGCACCGAAAGTTCAACCGCCGAAACAGATCAGCCGAAAATGGCACTTTGGGCAAAATGCTGAAAGTGCCATCTTTCAGCCGAAATTGCGGTGCCTCCAGTTTCTCTCCTCCCCGCTGTGCTCTGCTCAGTGTCCCCTCTGACACAGCGTCCAGCGGGGAAGAGAGAAACTGTCAGGAGGCGTAGCGGGGAGCGCTGTCAGCATGTCACAGGAGGAGCTCTTCTCCCCCACCGCTCAGCCTCCTGTAACAGATGAGGAGAGCGTTGTGTGAGCAGAGACAGCTGTCAAATGAGGCCGAGCCAGTGGCTGCCGAGTCGGCCTCCCGTGACAGCCAATCCAGGATGGAGAGCGGTAAAAGCAGTCAGCGATCGCTGAATGTTTGTAAATAATTGGACATAGTAACTCCTACTGTGCACAAGTTATGAATGAAAGGGAAGTAAATCTACATCACTTCCTATTCATTCATGATTGTGTACATAGCAATTCATACTACAGTCACAAGTTATGAACAGGAACACTCTGTACAGTATAATGGATTCCTGTTCATTCAGTGCTGGGGCTGCAGAAAAAGGGTTTGAGGACTCCCTTGTCCTCAATCTCTTTTTCTATTGTAAAAGGGAACTATCAGGCGTCTGTTTAGACCCCTAATATATCCCCAAAGCCCCCAGCAGTAAAGTTTTTTTTTTTTAAAAAGCAAAAAAAAAACCCAAAACATTAAGTTTAGAAAAAAACTAAAAAAAAATTTTTTTTTCTTTTTTTAATTTTGGTGTTGGCCTGACTTATTTTCAGTTTCAACATTTAATTTCGGTGTACCTATACTTCCGAGGATGCAACGCTTGGGAGCATTACATCACTAATGCCCAAGAGGACCAGGAAGTGGTAAAACACTAAATTGCAGGTAAAAGAAAAATATGTTAAACTAATGAATGTAAGATTTCATATCAGCATGCAGAGCTGCATGCTGATGTGATTTTAGAGAAAGGGGGTAAAAGTCCACTTTAAGTGTATGTCAGAAAAAAAAAAAAATCCAGCATAGCTCTGCAATACATGCACCTTCCATCATATTTTATCACCATAAGGCCCCTGCAAGTACAGAAAATGCCTATTTGCGAGAAATACATATTGCTCTTAATTTCTAATTATGGGCTGACAATACACAACATTTTGGGGTACTGAAATGAAAAGGAATGGTGTTAGCCCTGTCCAGCTGCCTTTCGCTAAACTACTGAATCCCTCCATCTCTTCAGCATAGAGAATATAGGTAGCTGTAGTCCAAGATGAGAACTGGGAGGACTACTTAGATTCCTGGAGATATTACAGGCAGTATGCAAAGGACAGCTCTGAATTTCTGCAAGTATTTCCTTGTTTTATCTGTTCAAGAAGTGCAAAGTGCTTTCAATTGTATATTTACCAAAACAAAGGGCAGCAAAAGAAGTACAAGGTTAGGCTTTACATACACTTTAAGTGCCAGATCTAGCATTATAAGGCTGGCCAAAAAAACTAAATATAGTTTCTCAAAATCTAACTCTGCAACATTGCCTTGCAGACAATAACTTGGAATCAAGAGTCTGACTTTTGTCATTGACTTGTTACATAGTGCTGGGTATGTAAAATACTTCCTAGCTGGCTTCAAGTCCAGCATATACAGTGGCCAACAGTGTAAAGAGAAGGGTAGCCTGAGAAGGTCCAAAGTCTTGATGTTGAGCACATTGTCAACAGCATAAGACAAAGGCAGACTGGACAGATCCAAAGTTCTGATGGATCAGTCCAGAGCCAGCAGCAGAGCGCCTGAACAAGGCACCATAGAAATGAAACATGGAGCAAAATTAAAAATCAGGCAAGCAGGTGTTTTGCAAACAGTGTTGCGTTTGGGGGTTTATTTTCAGTTTGCCTGGAGTTCTACCATAACTTAACAAGCTTTTACTTACCAGTTTTTTGGTCTTCTCTGCAAGTTCTACTTTTTTCTGGGATAATTTTTCCTGGAAAGCCATCTAAAAAAGGAGGAAAAATATTGTTTCAAAACGCATCATAAAAAAAACAAGGTGCATACAGCGAAAAGAGCATTTAACAGCGCACAGTCAAGCTTTGTCTAGATTTCTCTATAAAACTAGGAGGTTAAATACAAATGTAAATATTGCGGGTTACTTACATCCTTAGCGCGACATTCCTGAGTTAAAGTCTGTTGCAAGTCATGGATATCACTGGAAAGCATTTTGAATTCTGCTTGTTGTTCAGGTGGGATAGTCCTAAGAGTAAAATGTATTAAATCATTGAAACTTTCAGTAAAAGCATGCACAATTTATTGCTCATGTATAGATCTGAAGTTCACAACAACAAAATTCCAAATGAAATAGCTTAAAAACCTTTCGACTTTAATATCACTTTAAAAAGTTACATGAATGCAATTTTAAGTTTTACCGCCTGAGTTTAGTGTCACTTTACGGGTACCCTTCCACGTTGCTCTGTATTTTCAAAAGTTGCATTCTAAAGCTGCCCATACACCTTACAATTATCTGCAGATTTTCTGTGGTCAGATGGAAAAAGTGCAACAGATTCCTCCATCTATGCTAAGCTGTGTGGATAAAGCAATCTCCCACTGGGCCAAGCTTCAGTATCTTGCTAGTCAGCCCCGCTGTCTTTTCAAAATACCTGAACAATCGGTTTGGATGCAGGCATTATTCAGGTGTTTTGAGAGCTGACTAGCAAGATTACGGAAGCTTGGCCCAGGTGGAGATTACTCCATCCACGCAGTTAAGTGTAGATGGAGGAATCTGATGCACCTTTTCCATCTGACCATAGAAAATCTGCAGATAATTGTAAGGTGTATGGCCAGCTTAAGAGGCAAATCATAATGAACAGAAATGAAATTCAGCAAAACTTACGCAAGTTTCTCTTTTTTAGCTTCCAACTCTTGAATGACCCTCTGCTGCTGGTTCATGCTGTCCAAAGCAGATTTCTGCAGAGAATGTTTAACATTTTAGCGTAAATGAAATCTGTAGCAATAGGTCTAGACCACAAAAAAAATGAAATCATGGAGAAGAGTATGGTTCTTCTTACATAGCTCATACAGAATCCACTGTAGACCTCCAATCGGGTATTCCTGAAGTGAAGGAAGTTGACAATTCCACTTAGCAAGGTGAGAGTGCGCTTGCCTTCTAAATGTGGAGGGGGGAAAAAAAAAGTAAAAAAAATGCCAGATTTATCAATACGTTCCAGAATGTTTACTACTGCAATGTACTTACTGGGATCCAGAACATCAGATGGGTGAAAATCATATACTCGACACATTGGCAGCAGACGTGACCTTAATGCAAAGAAAAGAATAGATTCTTTAAAGCAGAATATACATTTTAAGAAAAACAAGTACAAAAGCTACCGTCACAAAAAAATGTAACAAGCATAAATACTTACATAAGTGTTACAATGTGACCCAGTGGTGCAAAGCCTTCAACGAGATGAGGGTACGGAATGTCCAAATCCACAGGTATCTGAAACATATACATAGCCATCAGCTAGGAGACAAGAAATCTGCAACTACTTATACATACAATTATGCATACTGTACAATGAGCACAAAAAATAAACACACACACACACACACACGGTGTGCAAAATAGTATTTTTGTACTCCCAGTAAAAGCCTTTTCTTAGAGTCTATTATGGGATACAGGAAGTCTTAAAAGAGAACTATGGGGGGGTAACCTTTTTTCCCCATAGTTCTCTTTAGGGTCATGGGAAGACCAGCGTCTGGCAGGGACCCAAAACTCAGTATATGTGCCGAGAGCGCCACAGCCGGAACAGATCCCGACAATACTGCCGTGGTCCACCCCACTGACTGATTGACAGCAGGCTCTGCCTATCTAGAGGAAGAGGCAGCTTTGCCCAATCCGTTACTAAAGCAAGCAGTTGTGATCAAAGCTTTGAGTAGCCAAAAAACATGGACAGCTTGCAGCTGGTGAGGGTCAGATGGTAGGAAGTGATCAAAGTCACTGCAGGTCAGCAGCCTGAATGTGGCTCTTTGCAAGCAGAAACAGAGAGATGCTTCCTTCCTGTACCATGGGAAAGAGAGTGCAGAATGTGTGACACTCCACCCAATGGATGATGTCAAAGGGGCATAGTGGCACCCAGTGACCAACAAAAATGAGGGCTCTCCTGGCAATCAGCCTGCCTGGCCTAATAAGTGAGTCTTTAGAGACAGGGCAAGCACAGAGGCAATGTCAGTGGATCTGGACTTGGAAAGCACCCCCATGTAGAAACCCAGTTTCCAAAGGTCACTTTTTGGCTAGCTATGTAATGCACAGTCCAGCGGGATCCGGATGCAGCAGGATCCAAGCTCACTGGATTTCTGGCGCGATCAACAGGTATATTTTGCACTTATCGAACAGATATAACAAAATGTTTTTAATGTGATATTAAAGCCCATCTCTGGAGAAGAACCCCCCCCCCCCACATTTGTCCTTGCAGTGGGGATGCCCCCACACTGCAAGTGTTAAATGCTTGTTAGGTCCATGGTATTGTGTAAAGCATTTTTACGTACATGATCCCCACTCCTCTGGCAGTCGGCACTCTCCTCGTCTTCCCTACACTCCGGCTTGTACTGTCCCTTGCCATCTGTATAATGTAGGGCTATAGGCATGCTGCGAATGCCAATCTTGGAGTCTGAGAGCGGGGGGGGATCAGGTAAATAAAAAAGTCCTTCCCCCTGGTACACTTGACCTAAACAAACATTTCACCCTTGGAATGCAGTGGCAGCCCCACTGAAGGCTTTTTTTCTTTTTTGGAATTCAACTTCACATCAATAGGGAGCAAATAAGAAAAATGTCATTGTTAGGGTTTAAATATACTGTAAGAGCTGGTTGAAGCCCTCCCATAACTCACTATTGGTAACTGAGGCTGCCCATCACACAGTAGGGCCAGCAACTGGAAAAAGAAGTTGGCCAGCGTTTGGCTATCCATGGTGAATTTAGGATCTTCATTATAGAACACCCTGGGTAATGGGGTACCAAGTAGGATAGGTGAAAGTAAGGGCAAGCTCCTACAAAGTGCCTACATTTAATCATTCATGTCAATTCAGACCCAATTTGTGTAACAGTGTTCCTGGAAGTGAATATGTACTTATCCTGACTATAGCATCTTTATTAAAGACGAAAATGTAACAAAACATGGAAGGCTTCATACCATGTAAAAGTCTTCCACTTTAATGTTGAACACTAGCTGCAGTACTCTCATGTAGATCTTCTGGACCCATTCTAGCTGTAAATTAGAAGCCATCCGTTAGTCAAGCATTCTTTAAAAACATTTTTATAAATTATAATAAGCTGAAACCTGTATAAACAAAGTACGACTCTGCTCTTTGTTATCCTGTACATGTATTAAAAGGACAGACTCCTGACTTCTCTCCAACTTCCCTTATTTGCATACCGTTTCCATGTCAGCGACTCAGAAAGAAATGAAAGCAAAATTATACTCACCTCCCCTCCAGCGATGCAATATCTGCGAGCTTCCTCACCGACATCTTCTCGCTGGCTTTATTTGGGTGCAGAATCTTCGGCCATTTTGATTGGTCCCCTGGTTAGGGCACGATCTGCAAGGAGTTTGCATGTTCTCCCTGTGCTTGCGTGGATTTCCTCCGGGTACTCCAAAGACATCCTGGAAGGTTAATTGGCTCCTCTCCAAATTGCCCCAGTATGTATGCATGCGTGTGAGATAGGGACCTTAGATTGCAAACTCCTAGAGATGTGAATGTGCACTATGTAAAGCGCTGCGTAAACTGTTGGCGCTGTATAAATACCTATAATTAAAAAAAAATTATTGGTCTGGCACTGGGTTTATTTAACCTGGCAACCAGCAGCTGCCAGAATTGTAGACTGTGCATGTGCAGCTCAGTGTACAATCTAAAGCAATAGTAAACCGTAGTATGCTTGGGGGGAGTTTAGCCATAATACAAGTATTCACAACATACTTACCATACAAGTGAGCCCTTCCCCAACACCGAGATGAATCCTCTGTCCCCAGGCATTATCTTTGGCCATTAATGATGCAACTCCTGTGCACATGAGCATGAGGATGAACACATCCTCCTTGGCATCAGACCCATTCATGGCATCTTAGAGATGCCGTAAATAAGCTGAGTGTGTACACTGCAAGGTCCATGCACCGTACAGTCTACACAGAAGAATTTGCTGAGGTAAAGAGGAAGATTTTTTTTTGGCACAAGATACTTTGCAGGTTCAGATGAGTTTGGGTTTGATTTGAACCGCAAACTCATCCCTACTTAGAACCCAAATGAGGTCTAAGTAGGGATTAAAAACCACAGGCCGGGCAGAATCTTACCTTGGGGTTAGGATAGAGGTCCGCCTTGGTAAAGTTTTTAGCTTCGGCAGCCGTAAGAACATTTTGGCGGAAAAAATTGACCAGCTCTACAGCTGAAAACTTCGGAAAAGTCATCTTGTCCATTTTTGCAGTGGGATGTTAAGGCACGAAAGCCGGGAAGACACCTGGAAGAGAAAAAAGTTAGAATTAATACAAAACCATCACTGGGAAAAAAAGATCTCTGTGTGCTTGTATTTCATTAAACTCTGGTATTTACACTGACGGCCCATCCACACTATTGTGTTGGGTACCATGGAGTAAGACTCACACCATTACAACATACCGCATGTCTGTTAAAATGTGCAATTTAAATGGTCTGCCTTAAAGAGGAACTTTATTCCCCCTTGTTCATTTTTTTTCTTTTAAAGCAGAACTTCAAGGGAAAAAAAAAAAAAAGA